CTGCGCACTGTCTCCCGGAAAATCAGAGATTGGACCAGGGCCGGACGCTCGTGACTCCGCCAGATGACCATCCACGGCAGCCGAACCATGATCGGACGTCTGGATCACCGTCAAACCCGTCGTCGACATAATCTGGGAACGATTACGAGAAATTGTAGTTGGTCTCCGATAATCAATTTGACGTTTTTTAAATAATTATTATTTTTTTTTTAATAATTATTTTTAAAAAATATTTTAAATTTAGGGTGACAACGGGCACAACTTGCAAATTGAATTAATTGTATAAAATTGGTTAGTTTAGGAATTCAATTGTTAACTTTTTTTTTTATTTTATAGGTTCAATAACTTATTTGCATTATCATGTGCAGTTTGATTATCTATTTGACCCTTATTTTAGGTTTGGTTTTATTATTATTTTTCTAACTTTTGGTAAATATATACGTACGTATTTATGTACAGACACTGGCGTTTTACAACTCAAACAACATTGTTATCGACGGACTAAGTTCACAAAACAGTCAAAAGTTTCACATTCGCATTGAAAGTTGCCATAACGCCAAGTTACAAGGAGTGAAGGTGTCGGCTGCCGGAAACAGCCCCAACACCGACGGAATCCACGTGCAGTTGTCGACAGGTGTCACAATCTTGAATTCCCACATCGGCACTGGTGACGACTGTATCTCCATCGGCCCGGGGAACTCCAACTTGTGGATTGAAAACATCGCATGCGGCCCAGGCCACGGGATCAGGTCGGTCAAATTCTTAAACAAACAATATAATTCGATTCCATTGCGGCCTTTAATTACATGTTTAATTTGTGTGCAGCATTGGGAGTTTAGGTTGGAAAGAGCATGAATGTGGAGTACAAAATGTGACGGTTAAAACGATAACTTTTACCGGCACTCAAAATGGATTGAGGATCAAAACGTGGGCAAGGCCAAGCAATGGATTTGTGAAAAATGTTGTTTTCCAACACGCATTTATGTCTAACGTTAAACACCCCATCATCATCGACCAAAATTATTCTCCTAACCACCAAAATTGTCCTCATCAGGTACGGTTAATCATGCATATTATATTCCTTAGCTTGTTCCACCATTATCCTCAAAACTACCTTAAAAACATAAAAAACAAAAAATGACGTTTCGATGCTAATTAAAGATGTTTTATATATGATTAATTATGACATGTAGGGCTCGGGCGTGAAGATAAGCAACATAAAGTATAAGGACATACATGGTATATCAGCGACGGAAGTGGCGGTGACGTTCGATTGTAGCAAGACAGAACCATGCAATGGCATAACGTTGGGCGATGTAAACTTGACATACAAAGATCACCCGGCTCAAGCCTCATGTTCTAACGCCGGAGGGACATCTTCCGGTTTAGTTACGCCGGCTAGCTGCCTCTAAGCGATTCAAAATATACATGCTAGCTTTAATTTTCAGATGATTGAATTGATGAAGTAATTAATATAATTTAATTTGTCATTTATAGTTGAAGCTGTATGTTGGCGTCTGTGTTAGCCTCATTTGGCCTTACTACGTACAAAATGTATATCATACTCACAATAATAGTATAATACTATATATACATTTGCCTTTTCGAATAATATAATGAGTTAATACCCAAAATCGTCCTCAACTATAGTGGTTTTTCTCAATTTCGTCCTAAACGACTTTGGTGACCTAATATTGTCCCGGACTTTTGTGTTTCGCTCAATTTAGTCCTCCATTTGTTATTCTGTCAAATTGGTGTTAAATAAAAGGATAATTCAGTAATGTCAATATTGATCTCTCTTTACTTTCAACTTGTGAAGTGCGAAATTCCTCTTTCTTGTACGAATTATTACACCCAGAATTACTCCCGGACCTGCAAATCTAATTTTATATTCGCAGTCTTAGGAGTAATTCTGTGAGTAATTCGTAAAAAAAAAAAAGGGATTTCGCAGTTCACATGTCTATGAGTAAAGAGATGCCAATATTAAAATTACTGAATTGTCTATTTATTTAACACCAAATGGACAGAATAACAAATGAGGGATTAAATTGAGCAAAAACACAAAAGTCTGGGACTAAATTGAGCGAAACACAAAAGTCTTGGACGATATTAGGTCACCAAAGTCGTTTAGGACAAAATTGAGAAAAACCACTATAGTCGAGGACGATTTTGGGTATTAACTCATAATATAATTGTTAAATTTGGAACCATTACTTTTTATTTGCCTTTCATATCACATTACAATATATGCACATTTTTGTGCAATGAGCAAAAGTTTAACTTCTGTAGTTTATGTTTAGTTGAGTTACTATGATTTACAATCTCCCAAATACTCTGTCAGGTCGAAGTGTACGTGGGGAGCCTTAGGATTGGGGTTCAACCTTTTGGAAGAATATATGCACATTTCATGGTACTGTTAGGACTCTATAGACTACGGTCCTAATCCTAGTTTATCTCTGTTAATTATTATCTTCTGTATATATTGTTGTGATGTACTTTATGGTGTTTGCCTAATATAGAAATATCACTCTCATCTAACTAGCTAGTTTACAAATCTAATAACAGTTAATAAAGTTTATGGTGTTTGCCTAATATAGAAATATCATTCTCATCTAGCTAATTACAAATTTAATAACAGTCAATAAAGTTAGGTCGGGAACAAAAAAATGTATTGTTGATGTAATTGTTTGTTAAAAGATGTATTGTTTGTGTAATTGTTTGTTGAAATGAATAGTTCATATTATTTTGATTTTAGTATTTTTTTTTATAATTTTTCTTTTTTACTCTCTATTATATTATATTCGTCCCTTAAATAACCATGTAAAAATATAATTAGATTAAAATATTTTATTTAATATTATTGCATATATTTGCTGCATTGTCAACGTGCACTTTAATTTGTAAATACCCATAATATTATTATATTGCAAAAATCCCGCCTAAGTACCGATTAATCGACGCCTAAGCGCTAGGCGCTGGACGGCCGCCTAAGTGCCGTATAGGCCGCCTAGACACTGACCGACTAGGCTTCCTAGGCACCGACTAAGCCGCCTAGGCACTGATTAAGCCGCCTACATACCGACTAGGTCGCCTAGTTGGCCAATTAACTATTGTTCCATTCTTTATTAAATGAGTTATTTCACTCAAAACGACATCGTTTTGAGCGAAATAACCCTAAATTGTTCAAAAGATGTTTTTTTTTTAGGTTAATATTTAATATTTTAGTATTAACTATTGAAGTATTAAATAGTTTATAATTATCTAAGTCTTAAAAATTTTTAAAAAATTAAACAATTTTTTTCAAAATTAAAATTAAATAAAAAATACACAAGCGCCTAGAGGCCGATTAATCCTCATCTAGGCGCCCTAGGCGCTCCTGGAGCGTCCGATGCGCGCCTAGCGATTTTTTTCAACCATGCACATAATACATAACTCTTAAATTAGGTGAAATAAATAGTTCAAATGTACATAGAGAGATAATTTAATTTTCATCAATGTTAATTATTTTCACAACGGTTTTTTACCGTTGTTTTGCGCGGGACTTACAACAATACTGATTTCAACAACATAAATTTTATCTCAAAGATAATAATTTTTAATCGTTATCTATGTGCATTTTTATTTTTATTTTTGTGTTCCTCATTTTTTTTTTCATTATATATACAACCTCATACTTATACATATAATAACTTACCCATATGTACTCGATTGCAAAAATTGTGAGTACAATGGTAGTTCATATATCAAGTAATAGAGTACTAAACTACAAAACATAAGAGATGAATATAGTTAAAATGATAGTCTCTCATTCAAGTTACAAGCAATAAGGGAGAAAATCATATTGAAAATATGACTTATATATCCATTTCTATATTAATATTATTTAGGTTTCCGTCCAAAATAACTTCTAATTATTTATGAAGGACTAAATAAGCCACCACATTGATCCCAAAACAATGGGAAAAGCTACACGTGAGGAGATGGAGAAGTATGACAAGAGGGCAACAACGAGAAGGATTTGCAATGAACATTACAGCTCTGTAATCTGGTTCTGGAGAAAAAAGAGAGCGTTGTTACGTTGCTTAGGCCATTCCAATGGCTATTTAAGTGCTTTTTCCAAGCACTAGAAACCCAATACAGGCGATGCCATTCTTGGATATCTTTCTTTAAGCAAAACACAATCAGTTGTGGTCTTGCTATTGATTGGAAATATAACTTTGAGAATCTTGTGGTGTTCTATAAAGAGGTGGACACAGCAAATTATGTTGTGCAACAGTGTACACCACACATGATGCACATTGTTATATGTTCATAATTATTGAATTATATGTTCATAATTATAAAGCTATATATATATATATATATATATATATATATATATATATATATATATTCATAATTATTAAACTCTATGTTCATAATTATAGATCTATATGTTCACAGTTGGTCCTGACACTCTTCCTGGAGGTTCTCCCACCACCACTCTTGCATCTCTTCCGTTTCTGTTCACCATGCCCTCTTAAAACAGAAAAGCTAACCGGATAGTTAAGATTGTCTAACAACTTAACAAATGAGGATGAGGAAAGACAATAATACCCTTATTATTTTAAGAATTCAACGTGTTTTAATTTTTCCGGTGATCGAAGTGATTAACTTTGGTAGTAAAATAATAGTTGTGGGATAAGTTTTGATAGTAATTAAATATGTGGACTAAAATTGTCATTTTGTTAATACTCATGGGACTAAAATTAGTATTTGCTCAATTATTATTTAAGTGACAATTATAATCAATATCTTCTATATTATTTTGCATTCATATATTTTGAGTTAGCAATTCAACATTCAATCACTTATGCAGTACATATTTAAAAATACACATTGGATATATATATATATATATATATATATATATATATATATATATATATATATTACATTTATTTATATATAATAATTAAGTAATTATTTTTTATATGGTATAAAAACTACAGAGGAAAAAGAAAAACAACAACCTAGACTATCTCTTCAAAGGGAAAAAAAACCTAGCGCCTCTCTGCTGACTGCCTCTCTTCATCACTCACCGTCTCACCATCTCTGCTTCTCTGTCCTCGCACGGACGGCACTGTCGCACCTCGCCAGTCGCCACCAAACACGGAACACCGGCGACTGGTCGCCGCCTCACCGGTCAGCAGGAGTCCTCGTTGGTTCCTAATCTCGTTCCCAGGTTCGTAGTTTGGGTAATTATTTTTTTGCCTTAATTTCCCTAATTTTATTTTTGGAGTATTGGTTTAATTTAAAATCAAAAGACCTAATTTTCCACACATTAATTATCTATTTGGAATCTTTGGACAAGTTAAAAATAGGATCTGTCTCACTATATGTTAATGTTATATTTTAATGTTTTGTAGTTTCTGAAGCTAATAGTCTTGATTTTTGCAGATATTTGGAGCCGCTGGCAATCTCTTTGGATAGAGAGAAATGGTCACTGGTCCAATTTCTGTTTCCCTCATCTTATAGTGGATAGAACCTCAATTTTGAAACAAGTAAGTAGTTGTTTCCAATCCCTCAGAATGTTGATATTGGCACAAGATTAGATGCATACCTTGATTTGATTAATTATTATTTATTTATTATTTATTATGGAGTATTTATTATTTATTATTTATACAGCGGTATATACTTGTCTATGAAGTTTGGAATTGGATTCTCTGTTTCAATACCATGATGTTTGTATTTTAATTTGATGGTATCATTGGTATGGGATAGTTTCTCTTGAAGTACAGAGTTGTTTATTGTTATCTATTATATGTAATGTGAAAGTCAACTATTATTGTTTTTAATGTATGTGGTTTTTGGATGATTAATTGCGAAGTGCTAATTAGAGTTAGGCTCTTGAACATTAATTTTTGTCGATGTGCTTATTGAAATTCCGTGAAGCTTAGTACTGACATAATTTAGTAGAACACTTTGCTTCTTCGCCCCCACTCAAAGGAAATCCTAGCTCCGTCCCTGGTTTTAGGGGACATTTATGAATTTTTTTTTTTCCACAATTATCAAAATAAAATTAGTAAAAAGCTACAAAAGATGCAATTTTGTTGTCTTGATGATTAACAGAAAGTAGTACTGCTTCCCACTATGTATGTCTTTAATGAACTGAAGGATGGATTATTGCAGAAAACAGCATAAAACCTAACCAGAAGCAGTCAGTAATTTCTTTTTTCTTTTGCAGGGCGGGGAATCCCCATCCCCGAAAATGGATTTCTACGCACGCTTGCTGTAAGTTTTGTTTTGTACATTCGATTCTGTGCATAGACAGGTGAAATTAATGGCAAATTCTATAACCGACCCAATGGAGTCGAGTTTGGACCCGCTAGCTTCGGGTGAGTCGGAACAGATATCAGGAACGTCGTTATTTCACCGGAGAATCGAGTTCCATTTGGCCCGCAAAGCATTCAATGGATTTGGGAATGGCAGTGGAGGATTTCGGCTGGAGACGCTGAACCCGAGTTCGAATTCAGCTTCGGTGCCCGACAAAGCTCCTGGGCCGGGCAACCGTCCCTCGAATAAGGGTAGCGGCAACGATGGGGTAGACTTTGATCCGGAGCTCAGCCTCAACATGACATTCAGGAAAATTATGAGAATTGTTAGTGACTTGACTAAAATAAGATATACTTAGCTTTTGCCTTTTGTCTGTGTAGTATGCTTCATAGCCTTAATATTAGTATATACAGATACATATACTTCTTAAACTTATCTAGATACTCCGCATATTTCTGGCTATTTGTATATTTTGGTTGTTTCTTGTTATCTTTTTGGTTCCCTGAATACTTTGGAGTTCTTTTCTTTCGTTCTAAATAATGAATTTGTTTACTTTACGGCTTTACCTACTACGGAATAAATTTTATTATGCTGAGTTTTAGTTATTTGTTTTTTAAAGCAATCACCACCATTGCGGTGAGGGGTTAGATATTCTCTATCAATTGAGAATTTCTATCAGTGGCTAGCAAAATAGAGGATTTTAGTCTTCAAAATTTCTGCCACTTAGTTCTTTATGATCTTTTAAAACATTTTGAGCTACAATCTTATGTTCTTTTTCCTTTCAAGATCTGACTGTAGAGATTTTACAGATTATTTGAATGAATCCTTTTGTTATTTGTATTCATGTTTCAGGGCGCTGGCTTAGAGAATCTTGGAAATACTTGCTTTCTCAATGCAGTCTTACAGTGTCTGACATACACTGAACCTCTAGCAGCATATTTGGAAAGCGGGAAGCATCAAAATTCTTGTGAGTGTTTCTTTCGCTTTCCCACCTATCTCCATCATTTTCCCGAACCCAAAACAAAATTGAAAACTTCATGACTAGGAATAATACCTGACCTCCTCCGAATCTGTGGAACATGCTGCACCTAACTTCCCCATGGCTACTCCAGCCTTCCTATAATTGGTAAAATGCTAAAATTTGAAAGTAGGCAATGGTGCTTGATAAAATGGCTTTCTATGTGCCTTAAAGTTCTTAGTTACCAAGTGGCTGAACTGGTTGCTAGGTTTTCATACAATTGAAACATGTGCTCCATCTCAACTAAAAGCCTAAGCTGATAGTTGGATTGCACATTAATGGTTATTTGCTCAACACATACAAATTGGCAGGTTGGCTCTATTATAGTAAATCCACCTCCATGCAAGGTTTGATACTATATTCACAATTGAGCCTGAAGAAATTACTTATGCCTATTTGATGATATGTCAAGATTATCCTAGAATTCTAAGGGCAGCTGAGTTAATATACTGCTGTATTTTGTAGTCATTAAAACACACACATACTCACATGTTATAGCAACCAAATAATGGAATCTAAGTAATGTGTTCTGTTTTAATTTTTGCTTCTCACACTTTATAGAGTTGTGAATACTTGTTCTTTCGATGATAATAAACATTGAGTGGGCACTCTATGATTTTAGCAGTGTTGGTCTGAATTATAATTAAGTGCAGAAAGCATTGAAGTGAAAACACATTGGATTAATAGATGCTGATCTCTAACCTTTTTTGGGTTTTGATAAATAGGTTTTGTTGTTTTTAACCCTTAACTTGCTTACTCTTTGCATACTCATCCTACTTAAAAAAGATGTGTGCTTGATTTTTGAAGGTCGTAAAGCTGGGTTTTGTGCTTTATGTGCCATCCAGAGGCATGTGAGTCGTGCTCTTCAGGCAACAGGGAGAATTCTTGCGCCAAAAGATCTTGTGTCCAACTTGCGCTGTATCCTCTTAACAGCTTATGATGCATGAACTTCTTGATTTTTGCTACTTTAGTTTGTGAGGGTTTTGGTTGGATGTTTGCATTTGATTTGTGGGTTTCTGTGTTTTTTTGTTTTCTTTTTATTTTGGATTGAATGTCACTTGTTAAAGTTGCGCACCGAGTTAAGCTTGATATGATTATTGAGCAATTGAATTCAAGGGTTCTGGATATCTACTAATTTGTTGACTACAAATGGCCGCAAGTTTAAAGAATTACTTTTGGTACTTGTGGCCAGTAGCTTTGAATGTTTGGAGTTAGCCTTGACTATACATAGGCATATCTCGGAATTTCCGCAATGCTAGACAGGAAGATGCACATGAGTATATGGTGAATTTGCTAGAATCAATGCATAAATGCTGCTTACCTTCAGGAGTTCCCAGTGGGTCTCCTGGTGCTTATGAGAAAAGCTTGGTCCATAGAATGTTTGGTGGCCGCCTTCGCAGTCGGGTAAGTTGTTCTTGGTTGCTGTTATCTCTTATTTGAGGAATTTTTAAGTGACTGAGGTTCACTGCCTCAATTTGTTAACCACATGGTTTAGATTTAGCCAGAATAACTGTTTAGCTTTCCAAATTCCAAGAGAAGTTTGTCTTAATCTTAGCTATATGGTCAACAGGTGAGGCAATGAATCCATCACTAGAGAGATTCCCTTGTTTGAGTTTATTAGTGGTCTTACTAATTTGGAACTATTCAGAAATAGGCTCTCTGAATGATATTTTATTGAATCTGCTTGTCAGAAAGCTATGGTTGTTGCATTTTGTCAACTAAAAATTTCAATCTACTAATAACCGTTTGCAGGTGAAGTGCATGCAGTGTTCCTACTGCTCTGACAAGTATGATCCCTTCTTAGATCTAAGTTTAGAAATAAACAAGGCAGATTCTTTATACAAGGCACTGGAACACTTCACTGCCTCAGAGTTGTTGGATGGAGGTGAAAAGCAGTATAGCTGTCAACAATGTAAACAAAAAGTTAGGGCTCGTAAGCAGCTCTCTGTTGACAAGGCCCCTCATGTCCTTACCATTCACTTGAAGCGGTTTGGTTCACACGTACCTGGGCAGAAAATTGATAAGAAGATTCACTATGGTCCTGTTCTGGATTTAAACCGTTTTATGAGTAGTCCCCATGTAAGTATGACTATCTTTTTTATTTTCGCAGTCTTAAATCCAAAATTGTTCTGGCATATAAAACTACTTTTTAAAATAACATGTTTGCATGTTTTGTTCTTGTCAAACTGCATTCCTTATTTTGCATGTTTTCATCTCAACTAGCTAAAAATAGAGCTGGTTTGATAATATTTCTACAGCTAAAACAAAATATAATTTTTTTTTACTGCCATATTAGACAATTTTGACTGTCAGTGTCAATATATTTTCATTAATACTATTTTTGTTTATTAAAGTGTGATAGATGCTAATCTCTTCTCAATTTAAAATCTAGTTTTTTGTCTAAACATACATGTTTTATCATATTCTATGAAACAAGCCAGGTGTTTCACATGTACTTTTTCTAACCATTAAAAAAAAGTTTCTATGTTTTTTATTATTTATTAATTTGTTTATTTATAATTTCATTGTTTAATGCCTTTCAATCATATAGCACCTTACCCTTACATGTTACCTGAACCCCTTTAAATCCGCCTGTTTAATCCCCACCCCATGCCTAGCATGTAAACACCAACCCTGCATCCACCTCACATTTTGTGATTTGGCGCACTCTCTCCTTATGACTTCTACCTGCTCCACCTGGACATACACCTTGCTTTGTCCATTTCCAAGCTCACCTAAATCCCAATGCCAATTAGATCATGGCTGTATGACATTGGTTTCAATTAGACCCCGAATCGATTTGGCAAATGGATAATGCCAATTTTTGTATTTCCTAAGCATATATCTTTTTATATATATATATATATATATATATATATATATTTATTTATTTATTTATTTATTTATTTTTAAATACATTGTATTCTTTAATATCCTCTCTCTCTCTCTCTCTCTCTCTCTCTCTCTCTCTCTCTCTCTCTCTCCTCACCCATTTTGGCATAATTGTTTGCATAGCCCTCTCCTCCTAGACCAATTCCCTTAGCACTTCAAATTCACTTTATATGCTTTCATTAATGTTTACATTTGCAAATATTGCAGACGAGTGATTTGAAATATACACTTTATGCTGTACTAGTTCATGCTGGCTGGTCCACTCATTCTGGCCACTATTACTGCTTTGTTCGCACTTCTAGTGGGATGTGGTATTCCCTTGATGATAATCAGGTATAGTGACAACTTTAGTTTTCTCTTTTCTCTTTGATGGTATTTGACTTGAATTAAGTATACTACTTCTGTCATAGAGTGTACACTTGTGATAGTTTTGGTGCCTCTGTTTCATAAACTTGTATGATGAGTAGCTTCTTTCTCTTTAAATTGTCCTGTGTTTGCTACCTGCAACTGCGTATGTGGGTTTTCTAGTAGGATGGCTTCAGTTTTTGTGAACGTTTCATGTTAAGGATGCAAGTGGCATTTCAAGTGGCGTGAACAATATAAAATTTATCTCCAAGTATCACAGTTAGACCATCAGTTTCTTGATGTGAACGTGGACTTGTTGAGAACAGTGAACAATATAAAATTTATCTCCAAGTATCACATTTAGACCATCAGTTTCTTGATGTGAATGTTGACTTGTCGAGAACAGGGAAGATCAACATGATCTCACATGCATGTAATGCATGAATCAATTTACACCTTTGTTCCTGTATTCTTGCCTGTTCTGTATAACAGTACTGGTGTACTGTTATGGTCTACTTCATGGGCAGAAGAAGGAAGAAATGGTTCCTGTATTCTTGCCTATTCTGTATATAAGCTGGGTTTGCTTGAGACCCAAAACTCCCTTAGTCCCCTTTTGGGAATTAAAATTCTGCTTGCCATTAATCCAGTAAATTCTCCCTTTTTATTATAGGCAAAATACAAGACTCCAATAACTAATACTCACTTCAAGACTAGATAACTAGTTAAGACAAAGACTTCTAATTGAATCAAATATTTGGAACACCTAAAACTCCTAAAAGACTAAGAGTCTAAGACAACTAACTATTAACCAATTTGAATATAACTAAAACATCTAATAAATAATTGATAAAAGTATTTTTGCCTTCCTGCATCATATACATGTTCACAGCCTGCATCATGTTCCTGCAATTTATGACAGGATTTTTGTTCATTTCTTACATGGTTTGACACTTTGACATGATGTGGCTTCTTCATTTTTAACTTTCAGTTTTTAGAACTATGGCCTGTAATTGATTTGGTTCCGATGATTATCTCCTTTACCTTCTTGGATAGACATAATATGTCATTGCACTTGAAAAGAGAAGTTTAGAGTCTATAGATGGTACTTGCATGCTTCAATTAAGAGATTATGATTCCAAGAACATGCGTCTTCTATGCAATGAATAGGTCTTCCAGGTGAACGAGAGAAAGGTGTTGGAGCAAAAGGCATACATGCTTTTCTATGTTCGAGATAGGAAAAGTGCTTTGCCTAAGAGGCATGTTGATGTTGCACATAAAGACAGCAGTTTAATAAATGGTGTAGGAATTAAAGAGCATAAATGTGGTTCAACAAAGGAAGCTTCAATAGCTGCTGGAATATGTTCTCCTCCAACTGCTACATTGGGTAATGTGTCAGATGGAACTCATAATATTTGCAGAGTCCCAACAGCAATGACGAGGCCTAGTGGTTGTGATACAGATGTTAGGATGAAAGATGTGAATGCCCCAATGCCTGTACTTTCTAAGAATAGTACCGTGGATAAAGATTCATGTGGCTCTATTGTACTGCCGTTAAGCTGCAATGAGGATGTAATCAATGAAAAGGATTCGAGTAACAACTCCAGTCACAAACCAGACGATGACAGTATACCTAAAAAATCTTTAGCTAGGTGTAGCAAGGGAAAAAGTATTTCTGGAAAGGTAGCTTCCCTTTCATCCATGTTCAATTCTTCTTTGATGAGGTTGATTTTTTTTTTTTTTTTTTTTTTTTTTTTTTCTTTTTCCCACATATCTGAGACATTCAATATCATGTTTAGGTATTTGAACTTGGTGAGCAAAATCTGAAAGAGGCAGGCCAATTAAAGTCCAATCAGGAATGTGGTGATGATACTCAGGTATGCCATGGTATTTGAATGTGCATTTGCTTAATTCTAAATGTTAAAACAAATATAGAAAATGTTTTCCTTATCTGTTTGTTGTGGAACTATGTTTCAGATTCACAGTTTCTCCAAGGGAAATGAGACAAGTGAGATTGGATCTGATATATTAGTTACCCGATCAGACCCTTTGAGGACAAGCAAGACCATACCACTGAAAGCCAATGGGAAGACCAAGCTGAAAGTTAGAAAGAAGCAGCCTTTCAAGTCACATATCACCAGCATGCATCTTAGTTCCATCATCTTTGGTAATGCATTATATGTGAGAAGGAAGAGAAAACAAAAACTTAGAAAACATTGCATTTCACACATCAACAATAGGAGGAGTTTGGAGTACTTGAATGGGGAACGTGCCCCGCCAAGCAGCTTTGGTCCTACTTCTGATGTAGAGGTCTACAATTCGGGTGTAAAAGATCAACTGGAGCAAGGTAGAATGGTTAATGAAGTACCTAAAGAGAGAGCAGGGAATGTTGAAACTGTACTTATGACTGATAAGCAGCTTGTAAAAATGACTAGCTCCACCTCATTAGGGAATAAATTTGATGTTGGAGAAACTATTGGTTTCAAAGATGTAAAGCAGAGTGGTCTGATGAAAATGCTCACCAGAGGATTAGAGGAGACAACAGGTCAGTTATTACTTTCAAGTACTTACTCCACCTCAATTACCTTTAATTTGTTGGAGCTCAGCTAAAATTGATTTAACCATAGCTATATATAGGACTGACTTGTTTCGTATCTTGTCTTATGAAGTCGTAAGTTGGGATGGCAAACAAATTTCTCCTTTGGACGTTACTGAACCAGGAAATGAGTGTGTCAAAATTGGCTACATTGGGGATGAATGGTGAGTTCTGATCCATTCTTGCCATATAAACAAACAAAACATTCTATGACTATTCATATTCGCAAGTCTTAACTCTTAATTCTTGTAATTAAATGTGTTAATACCATTTGTGTGCAGGGATGAGCATTATGATCAGGGTAAGAGGAAGAAGGTAAGGAGTTCCAAACTTGACTTTGGTGGCCAAAATCCATTCCAAGAAATTGCAAGCAAAAAGGCAAAGATGAAGAGAGCAAAGCTGGCCAATCAACCGGTTCGTATATGACTTAGTTTAAAAGTGTGTCTAGACATTCATTCATGGAGGAAACATATTCTGGAGGCTTAAGAATCTAAAGGCCGGTGTCCACCCCACCCCAGTTTTGTATGTTGGGGATCGAGTTTCAAAACATTCATCAGTGTGTAGAGTTGGAGAGATATATGAGCATCTTGTCTGAGAAATCGGCCAAAGATTATATCTTCCTCCAGGCCATTTTGCAGGTTCATCTTTTGGTCTAATTTTTGTTTTTTTTTTTTGTTTTTTTTGTTTGTTTTTGTTTTTGTTTTTGTTTTTGTTTTTGTTTTTTTTTGTTTTTTTTTTCCTCTCCCTCCTTTTCTTCACATATCCTAGTTTTTTATTTTTTCCTCATGTGACAATAAAGTAGTGCGAAACTTCTTGATTTGAACAATAACTTCTTGATTTGAACAATTAAATTTATAAAGTGTAAGAATTTTTTCCTTTGTTAAAGATGTGACTAATGCTTTATAAGAGCATTAACAGTAGTTATGATTTTTTTTTTTTTTTATGGTTTTTTTGCATTACCGTGTTAGGGTTTGTTTGTTTGTTTGTTTGTTTTTTTTGTTTTTTTTTTTTGTTTTTTTTTTTGTTTTTTTTTTTTTTAATTTTAATAACAAAACATGAACTTTATATATCTACAATGGGGGCAGTAACTTAATTGGTTGGAATTCTAAACATGATATTAAATGTTCTATGTCATGCGTAATTTTCTCTTAAAAATAATATATTTAAGAATGAAAAGCACATGCATGCATTCTAAACATGATATTAAATGTTCTTGTAAGTAGTTTAGTTTTGGTGGGGGTTAGTTTTATGACTTTTGGACAGTGAATGACAGGTCAACACTACCGTTAGAATGACGAGAATATAGAAAAAATGTAAGAGAAATATATGGAGAGAATATATGAATTATGTATCAATGAATATTGTTTGTGAACAGGGCCGTTCCAATAAAAGTTGGGGTCCTATGCAATATATTAATTTGAGACTATTTTTAAACTATTTTTTCAAGTAATTTTTATATATAAATAATAGCTGTTCAAAAAGTTGTATCAAACTATAAATATTTTATAAAAAATACACCTAAAATTTCATTCAAAAAGTTGTATCAAACTATAAATATTATATAAAAAATACATCTAAAATTTCATTTAAAAAGTGACATGCGCCGTGTACATTTAAACGCAAAATCATTTACCAAACTTTGATATCAATTTCTTCCAAAAACTCATTTTCAATGGAGATTAAAGCTATTCCATTGAGTCTCTCTTGCAACACACTCGACCATAATTAAGATTTCAACAATTTCAATTTTCAAAAACTTCTTTCTGCAGAGACAACAATAATTGGGATAATCAATAATATTCGATAGCATTTGGAAAATAACCCATCTGTTTTAATGACTTCAATACTCACTGACCCTATCTTTTCTTTTGATAATATATCTCTAAACAATTTTAGCTCAATATACAATTCATTTCCATCAATATCACTACACTGTTAATCTCTCTTAAGACCTGCTAATTGATATTTGGGAATTGAATTAAAAAATAAAATAATGGCGATTGCTAATTAGCAGAAGGTCCTAGTCGATGATTCTTAATTGTTATTTGAGATTTAAGAATTGAAAACCGCCAAAAGTAGGGAAGGGAATCAAAGGATTAGGACACACACACACACACACACACACACACTTTTTTATTGAGTTTTTAACGCAATTGCCAATTGGGCTCAATTTCACCTTATCACAAATTGGTCCAATCTTCTTGCACTTAGTCTGAAATCCTGTATACTATATATATATATATATATGGGGGCCCTATGCGGTCGCGCATGTTAGACATGCTCAGAACCAGCCCTGTTTGTGAATATTGAGAGTTGTCTCCTCTCCTCTATGTGAGAGGTCTATATATATATATATATATATATATATATATATATATATTGGGCCTAGAGCCCTACAAGGAATAAAAATTCTAGACTGCCTCATATTGGAAGTCTTAGTTACATTGGGACTAATAAGTCCCATCCTTAGCGAATTCTTGAGTTGTTCCGTATTGGGTATCCATCTTGAGCTTCTTTGATCTAGTTACTTTTTTAGGTCGGTTCATGTGGCCTAGGCCTAGTATACTATCCATCAATGAGTGTTGATGACGTAATGCCGATGCTCCAAAGCTAAGAGTCAGCATTTTGGGGCACCAGAAAGAGTTTTGGTTTTCCATATGAACTAGGCATGCAATGGTGGCATGAAGCATGGCTAGATGGGACCAAGTTGACTAGTTCGAGTTCTACTTATGTAGCAACTTTAACTAGCTTTGGCAATCTATCGAACACTTTTAGGTCAAAATCTTCTTCCGAGTTGAGTTCTGTCTTTCGATGTAAGGTGAGAAATATAAATAGAGGAGGCTAGAGTGTAGTCTCAATCACTTTGCAACGACACTCATCCCATACCTCTTGTATGATGTGGCCACTACTCATACAAAAGAGTCTATACAAATTTTGCTTCCAATTCAACAACAACCAAGACAACATATCAAATCACTTCTTCCTAATTGCAATTCAATATATTCTAGCATCCATCATGAGCTGTTCTAATCCAAATCCCTAAGCAAGTTTAGCCAATCATGATAACAAATGAACACACAAAATAGCATTGAACAAAGGTAGGAAATGGAGAATGGATAGGAATTAGAGATGAAAAAATATAATGTTACTCATCAATTACACTTTGTAGTCTACAATCCAAGCTCCAACCGATTTGACTTAATTACTTAAAAAATCCGCTTGAACTCGCCTCGAGTTTGAATTTGACTAGACTCAAATCAAATTTAATTGAGCAACATGCGAGTGATATGACTTGTTTGCAAGTCTACTCTTTATGCCATTAATATGTAATATTATGAATTTCAAATGCTAAGTATATTTACATTTAAATACTTGAATTATTTTACTATCTTACATCCTATTTAATTGTCATATACTAAATCAAATGTATAAAATCATTGATATAACATCCGTTTTAATTTGATTTCTACTTTCTTTGTGGAAAAAACTTGTGGTTATAGCATGTAGAGCTCCCGGGTCGATTTTATCTGGACCGGATCATGATTTTTAAGAGATAAAAAATGAGTGATTTTTCAAAGGATTTAAACATTGTGTAAAGGGAAGTGATGCATGAAAGTTCTGTGGATGGATTATTTTTCACTTGCATGTGTTCATGAGTGGAGATTGAGCATAAAATTTGGTCAAGTAAAATCTCGTTTTCTCACTGGATCTCAGTTTTCTATGGATTTTCCCTTCATCAATGAACATTTTACCGGCCTTAAAAATCAATTTGACTATGCACAAGTTGTTGACTCAAATGCAAGCTCTGCCGCAGGCAAGAATTTCATTATTATTGTTGTTACGTTGTTGTTAAGAGGGTTGCATAGTATTTTGATGACATATACTATTAGATTATTATTATAAGATTTTTAGTAATATCATTATCAGTTATAATGCACACAGTTATATAAAGTTATAACATGATTCAAATGTGGGGGAGATACAATTTTTTAAATTGATCACTTCACGATTAAATGTGACAAATTTTCAATAATTAAGTAAATTCGATCAATTTTGAACTTGATAATGTTGTTATCATCTATTAAACTGTTAGGCTTAGCAAAATATGGAGGAATAGCCAAGATATATCTTGATGAGGGAGAAGCATAAGAGTTGATTAAAGTTGAGTATCATATGCTCCCACAAAACACATTTTGCACCGAAGCTGTTTTCATCGCAAAAGCAGGTAGCAATGAAGAAGATGACAATTTGATCATCACATTTGTACACGACGAAAACACCAAAAAGTCTCAAGTAAGTATTTATGTTTCATTGAGAATAAATATAAAATAACGAAACTGAATTTTTATTAATCATATTCGGAGTAAATTTTTAATTGAAATGAAATATGTGTTTTAATAGAGTTAATTTTATTTTTTTTTTAAAAAATAAATTAATTTTCGTTTTTCAATTATTGTGTGTATTTTTTAAATTTAAACTTTTTTAAGTTTGAAATTGAACAAATTTGGTCTTTGATTATTGAATATGTGTTATTTTTAAGGATTAATATTTGATGCACTTTCGGTGTATAGATGCTATACACCAGTGGTGAATAAGGAGGTGACATATCATTAAAAAATAAAATCAATATTAATCAGGTCATTTTTTACAAAATATCTAAGACTTGAATTTTTTTAAGAAACTCGTTTATTTCTAATTAACAAAATACATCTACTTTCCTAATCATATTTATGACTTACTAACTATCTAATTATTAATAATTTTGAATTAATAGTAATATCCCACAGATGAACCTGTTAAAAGCAGTCTTTTTTAATTTGAAAATCTGTTAAAAGCATTCTAATATACAAATAAATTTCTATTCTTTTTATGGACACTAAAATTAAAGAATTCTAAATTATTAATTACAATTCTTAATTTAGAATTCTTTAATTTTAGTGTCCAAAAAAATAGAAATTTATTTGTATATTGGAATGCTTTTAATAGATTTTCAAATTATTAGTGAGTAATAAATATGTTTCGGAAAGTAGATGTATTTTGTTAATTAGAAATAAAAGAGTTTCCTAACAAAATAAATCTTAGATATTTTGCAAAAAGAACTTGGTTAATATTAATTTTATTTTTTAATGATGTGTCACCTCCTCATTCCCTGCTGGTGTATAGCATCTATACACCGACGCATAAAATATTAATCATATTTTTAATCCTTTGTGAGTCTACAACAACTAAAAATAGTACATTTTAAGACAAAGTAGTGTGACACATTTTCAATAGTTTGATATTAAATTTGTAAATTTAAACTCAAAGGAGAAAACGAAAAAAAAAAAAAAAACAAAAACAAAAACAAATTGGCGAGGGATATATTAAACCTGGAATATATGCTTCAACAAATAAAATATTCCAAATGAGTTTATTAGGGGTGTTAGCGAACAGAGCTTTCAGCAAACTACTCGTGTTCGTGTTTGGTAAGCGTTCGTTTATGTTCGTTTGTTAAGGTAAACGAACATTAACAAACAAAATTTAGAGCTCGGTTAATAAACGAACAGAGCTTGAACAATTTTAAGCTCGTTTGCTAAGAGATCGTGAACAAGCTCGTTTGTGTTCGTTTACTAATGTTCGTGAACAAGCTTGTTTATGTTTGTTTAATAATGTTCGTGAACAAGTTCGTTTGT